AGGAGACAGGACCAAAGGGATGGTGACGTGCGCCGCTGTGGGTGACACTGTACAGTGGAACCTCCAGAGTCAATCCATCCATTACCCTCATGAGGGTAAATACAGTTTAGCCAGGTTGAGGAAACAAAACAAAAACAGCTAAATCACTAAAATAATAATACAAGTAAATAGTGTGCCGGTTTGAAAAAACAAAAAGGAGTGGGGCATACATGCCCCATACGATATGATAATAACCATAGAAATGGATCTTACTACGACATACCTCTGGCTGCTCTCAGCACAATGAGAAATAGCAATTAATTACATATCCCATGAATGAAATATAAATTCATGCAATATCATGAATCTATATTAAAACATCACTAGGCGACAGAACTACTGTGTAAAAATATAAATAAATAAAAAACTGCCAGTCAATCGGTAAAATAGTTTGACTTAGTTTTCATTTTATTCTCTTTATATCTTTATGACAGTTAGGAATATGAAAATGTTAAAGCCTGTGAGGCAAATCAATTCCATTTACATGAGAAATTTGATTCGAAAGGGACATGTCATTCAGCAGGAAGCGATAGCCAACTTCCACATATGCCTAAAGCATATAACTTTGTCTCGAGGAATTAAACGAAAGGAAAACAACCTTAAATCTCCTCTAAAATGAAACGGGTTGCTCCGGTCCATGCGTCACAAACGTCCATATATAACAGCTAGCTCGTTTTTGTGTCATTCCACTCAGTTCATTAATTTTTATGAAGTCCTGCTGGCACAAAGAAAAACCTTGCATAAATCTAATAAACGGACCCGGGGAGCGTTAATAAATCCATTTATGCGGGGAATTTACCTTAAAAAAGGGGATTGCAGCAGACGTATTTCAAGGTCGGATTGAATCGCATCTACAAGAGTGTCGCAGAGAGCAAAGAAACAAACGTGGTCAAGAAAGAAATAAACGTGGTCAAAGAACACATTTGTTTGAACAGACAAAGTAATTGTATATAAGCAGTTGTACGCTTAATTTGAGTGAAAGCGACTTGGGCGTATTATTACACTGCTTGACAACAACACAGCTTTTGGAACGGCAGCGGGGGAAAAAAAAAGAAAAAAAAAAGAGATTCTTTTTGAAAGGCGCCTGCTACATTCTTTGCTGCTTGGAGAACTTTCTAATTGGTTCCAGCAGTTTCTCAGGGGCGTTTAAAGAAGAAGAAGACTGATGCCTTTATTGTAACTTTTGCCGCAAGAGAGATGAAGTCATTGCGTGAGTTGGGACGGCACTGAGAGAGAAATGCATCCGCGATTAGAGCAAATTACAGTGCAGTTTAAATCTGAATTGAAATGCAAAAGTAGATTTGAAATCTGGAAAAGTAAACCAGAAGAGAATTTTTTTTTGGTTTGTTTGTTTGCTTGTTTTCATATATTTATGCATCTATGTTTGATATGAGTTTCCACATCACGCTTATTACAAAAAAAATTATCTGTTACATGTCTTCAGTGGAGCATGTTTTGTTTTGTTTTTATTTTGAATACTTTATTATATATAAAAAAATGACTAGTGTAATAATTGCTGAGTAATATAGACATCTATTCATATTTTTAATTTTAAAAATCACAGAAACATTTGGGGAATACTCATTGAAAACCTTAAAAATTATTGCAGTACATTATAAAGTATTCATAAATTTGAAAGCGGGACATCACTATATTTATTTACGATATTAGTTGTTTAGGGTATCAGTGGCATCATTTCTGACCTTCGTTTCCAAACATGGCTCCTTATGATGGGAATCGTTCCAAACATGGCATCTTATCTTGAGAATGGTGCCAACTATGGTTCCTTATGAGACGTGCGATTACGTGGGATGGGCCCCGCTTGTGAGAGAGGAAGTATATACTCCACATAATACTCATGAGTACTCCACAACCGCCTACCACCAAAAGAAAGCAGTGTGAACATCTGCTGTGTTCCGCCGTCGACAGGCGTAAAAGCATAAAAAGAGAGCAATCATGTCCGTGGGCACAAGTCCAGATGCTACCAATTGAAGTGAGTTGGAGAAAAGTCTTACGCGCGAGTGTCTTTGGTGGCTAAAAATGGCGCCTTAAAGGTGAAATGGTTGTCAGCTCGATCCACGTTCTGTTGTGGATTATCCCCGTGTGTATGAAGATAAACAAACACCGTCTCCATGGTGATAAACTGTTCCTTCAAGGTGGTTCAGGACACCTCGGCCTGTGAGGAATTATCTGGCATTTCAAATGGAATAAACACGAGCGCTTACAGCAGCGGTGTCAATGATAAAAGAATGTTCTCGAGCCGGACAGCTGGCGCTCGGGCTAGCACACACGCACACGGGCGGCCCGTTTCCATCCACGCTTATTGGCTTCGACAATGAGGGCAAGCGAGCATCCGCTCCCGCCTTTGTCAAAACACGCGGCCCCAGAGAGCCGACAGCTGCTGATGGAGACGCTTTTCGTCCATTAATTGGAAGTTGGGAATGTGAGATGGAGACGTGAGATTAAAAATGGCAAAGTCATCCAAACGATTGTGGATTCAAATGAGCAGCCTTCAGTCCGCAGTACCCACAACGGGGTATGGAAATATTGTAAGACTCTATTTCAATGTACGATATACACTAATATACATGATAGGGCTACTGACTAGTGATGGGTGGAACTGCGCATTTCCTTAACGTTACCATGTTGAACAAAGTCTGGAATTGCCGATATGGGTACCAAAATTTTTATACATGACACCATGAAGTAAACCACGACATTGGGGAGTGTTTCTGCGTGCGGCACGTACTGGCTCAGTTTGTGTTCCCTTGGCGTTATGCTTACTTGATTACCCTTCTTGAGTCTTTTCTTAATGAATTCACCCATACACGAGTGAAAAGGAAATTCTGAGCTGATATGCAGGCCGCAATCTTTCCACCTTCGGAGGAGGTCTGCACTCGACTGCGCAGGTGTACCCGATGGAGTAAGCAGTGAGCGCATATATCTTATAAATATCATTCCAGAGCTGCATAGGATTTTGCCAAGAATCGAGAAAAGTCATTAAAAAAAAAACAGAGGTGGGGGAGTTTGCGACAGAGCAGCAAAAACAGATGCTGGAGTAAAGAGGTGACACACAAACTCGTTGATGGTTATTTTGCGCAATACTGAATTTCTGACATGATATTGACTGTATTTGCTCAAAAAAAAAAGGTTTTTGACACTTCACAAGATTCAATATGCTTATCAATTCGCCTTGAGTCTATATGTTAGTATACCGATGGTTAGCATGTTAGCATTTTATACTTTCTCAATTGAAAGAGTAGCTGACTGCAGGCACAATATAACATCCTGCTCAAACATTAATTGAACTTTCTGTAGGCCTACTCCGGTCAAATCGTAGAATGCCAGCTGGTATCATGTTACGATTAACTCATTTGTCATTCGAAGTAGTAGCTTATCCGATTAAAGGGAATTGAGCAAAATTCTTATTGAGCTGATTTCTGTACACATTCTAGCCATCTGAGCAGATTTTTTTGCACTTAAAATCCTGTCCATATGCTTCACAAAAATTAACATTGTGACTCTGCACAGGTTATTAGCAAGCTAGCTGTGAGCAATCTACAAAGTACCAGTTAGCATTGAAATAGTTTTCGCTTTTGCTTGGTTAAAAGTCAACCAAGCTCAACTCCTTCATAATCGGTCGCAAATGACAAAATTACAGGTGAGCAATAGGCCGCAGGGCCATTTTAATTTTGGTGCTATATTGATTTATTTTTTAAATGATATTTTCCACAACTAAATCAAACTCATTTGTCATTCGAAGTAGTAGCTTATCCGATTAAAGGGAATTGAGCAAAATTCTTATTGAGCTGATTTCTGTACACATTCTAGCCATCTGAGCAGATTGTTTGCACTTAAAATCGCATCCATATGCTTCACAAAAATTAACATTGTGACTCTGCACAGGTTATTAGCAAGCTAGCTGTGAGCAATCTACAAAGTACCTGTTAGCATTGAAATAGTTTCCGCTTTTGCTTGGTTAAAAGTCAACCAAGCTCAACTCCTTCATAATCGGTCACAAATGACAAAATTACGGGTTAACAATAGGCCACAGGGCCATTTTAATTTTGGTGCTATATTGATTTATTTTTTAAATGATATTTTCCACAACTAAATCAAACCGTTCAAACACACACCCATTCCAACAGTTGAAGTCATCATCATAATCTGTTTAAATCGCATCTTAATTTAATTGTACACACCAATGCTATTTTGCGTGAATCTGACAAAACGAACATTTCAACCAAATAATTTGCTCCTACAAAGCAGTAGTTTGGTGTGCAAGACAGTAACAGAGATGAGCTAAAGTACAAACAAGCCTGAGCTTGTTTTTTTTTTCTTTTTTTTTTGACCGCACATCCTGCTTCCTTTTACCCCAAATCGACCCCCCACCCCCCTACACCACAACACATGATTATTACTTTGCAGCACCTTTTCAAACCACCGCAGAGCCACAGCCGCTGTGCATCAATGCATTTGTGCATCTAAAGTGTTTATGTCGGCTGTCATCATTTCCATAAATTAGCATCCAAGTATTAGGGGATATAAAAAGACTTGAAGTGTGGCTGCAGCTGTATTTGGATTTATGCATGAGGATTTATGCCCTCACAGTCACCTCAGCCTCACTAGCTTGGCTAGTCTGTAAAGTGGAGATAAAAGACCTGCGCTTAATTTGGATAAACTTGCTGCCAGTGGATATTTCGCTCTCCCTCACTCCCTCTCTCTCTCTCTCTCTCATACTCTATCAGATCTTACCTGCTTCCCCATGGCTGCAGTGCTAAGTGTTCCTCCCTGGTGGATAGAGAGCTGAGAGAGTGCAGGCGTTAGGCAACAGCTGCTGTGATTCCCAGAGGTAAACAAGGCAGGAGGCAGGAGGTGGAAGGTGTTCTGCCTTTGCTCTTATACACTCCCATAATCGGGGGCGTGTGTGTGTGCATACATACTTGGCTGTCATCTCTGCTGCAGGTTTACACAGGAGCATGAAGAGCCTCCAGGGGTGGGAAAGTGCCTTAACCCTTTGGTGGAGGGAGCGGGAGAACAGCAGGCTATCACAAATATGATCAAATTCATCAGATGGATATGTTGGAGTTGGACTTTGGACGAACATTTGAAAGTTTTTCTTTGTTTTTAAAGCAAGTGTCGGAATAAGTTGAGTACCATTATCAGTGAAATGTACGGTAAAGACATTCAATCTTAACAATCTAGTCAGCTGGGATAGGGTTCAGCTAACCCGCGATTAACGGCGACTAGCGCGATATAGAAAATGGACGGGTGGAGCTACCATTCAACTATCGCATCAAAAGGACAAAGCAGAAAAGCTAAGTAGGTTCATTATGTGGCAAACAGATGTTCTTGAAACCAAAAAAAAAAAGGAAAACGTTTGCATGGAACTCAAATGTGATGTTTATAAACAGGAAAGTAGACAGGCAAAATGAGAGGAGAAAAATGAAGCTCAAGTTGAGAAGTTGCCAGTAGCCAGCAGGCTGGAAGCTACAGGGAGCAAGTATTTAAGGTTTTGGTTTTCTCCACCCTAAATGAACATTCATTCTGTGACATCCTGACACACACACACACACACACACACACACACACACACACACACAAACACACACACACACACACACACACAAATCCCACGCTTGCAATCATGACATCACATTTGAGGAATGTGCTGTTCATCCCTCAAGTTTGGAAAGTCAGAGCGAGAGTTCCAACGGTCACAGACCATAATTGTAATCTCAAAAACGATGCACTCATCAATTAGTCCTTCTGATCATTTTTTTTTTTTAGTAACGGCTATGGAATTTTGTTCAAAATTAGTAGGGGAATGAAAGAAAATAGTACAGAGGGACATTATATTTATCCGTAAAGAACAGAGACGTCTTTTTATAAGAGGCAAACAGATTTTTTTGGAAAAAATGTCTCTGTTGAGTTTTTCGTAATTTCCAAAGGGAAAACTTGTTTTGAAATTGACAGTGGTCTGTGAGCTCTATTATATTTGAGATCATCATCTTGTGAAAATATTATGTTCTATGTGGTTTCTAAACTCCCCCTTACGGATTCGTCTGGAGCCATGTTAGTTTTGGACATGGGTGCTGTAACGCATAGCGCAGCCATGAAAGTGAATAACCACACTTGATGAAATGCGAAGCGCTCAACATTTTTAGCCTCACAGGTTCTTTCTGCAGTATCGATGACTGCCGCTTGGGAGGTACGCTTATCTGGAATTTTTTTTTTTTTTTTGGTCTCACTTACGTTGCGGAATGGAAATACAGTACACCCACTTAGTGAAATCCAAGTTAGGGTGAACGGTAACATCCAGTCCGGTACCTCGGCAAGACCCTTTCCACCATATGCCGATTTCAAGCCACTGCCATTCCCAAGCCTGGATGAAAACATCATGCGAGTGACTCACATTTGCAACCACTGACCGGAGACATTTGCTTTTTCTTCTTACCAAAAACTATTTATATTGTTTTTATCCACAACTATATTGACAACCCGGTAACTCATTTCTTTGTAGCACGAAACACGAACATGAAAACACATTCCGACCGAGATTCAGATGAGGATTTTGTGATCGTTTGGCAGGAGTGTTAACCAGAACCCAACTGTGCTAACCCTGGAGAATGTGGGAAGAAGCCAGGTTATGCATACAGGATGGCCGGAGCCAAGATTGAAAGCCCCGAACATCAGAACTGTGAGGCAGACGTGCTAATCACTCGTCTACTGTGCTGTCTTGCAAAGGAAACACATGGGTGTTTAATCAAAAGGAATGTTTTCACAAATGGCGCCAGGAGTAGCGAAGCCTTGTTTGAGTCAAGCAGGCCAACATTTGAATGTATTCTTTCAAACCACCTATGCATCGTAATTAAATCCGTCCATCTTCTTTAATATAAATACCTCTATTGTTGTGCAGACACATTGCTCTAAAGAGAGCAACTGAGACGGACGGATCTTTCGCTCTCAGCAATCCATCAGGTAGCATAATGGCCGCCTGGAGATACGGCCGGCGTGATGAGCGCTTTTTCCCCGAACCGCGATTGCGTCGCCCATGCCCGTGCTGGCTGGCAAGCTGTGCTGACTCAGGGTTTTTGACACGGTGTGGGCGGGCGGAGCGAGACGGTTTTGGCGGCGTGGTTGCAGATGACCTGCCGCAGGTCACAATGGAAGGCGGACCATTATGAATCACGGGGAACATTTTTTGACATGACCCGGTACATGGAAATGAATGATGTGAATGGCAAATATGGAAAGAGAATGGCAGAATACATCACTAAGCAGTACAAAAGTACTGATGTAAATAAATGGGAAAACAAACCCCCATTTTTCATGGAAAACACATCATGGAACTTGGTCAGTTGTGCTTTTTTGTAATCTAATTAAATGTCCGTCAATTATAAGCAATTTCTGTCTCTTCCCATGCTGGCGAACTGGGGGTGTGGGGGGGGGGGGATTATGGCTCCTCCATCATTTAAATTTCCCATCCCTGCTCTACTGTACAGCATTTTTTCTTATTACTGTACACCCCTAACCCAGTGCTGGGTCTGAAACGGACCTAGCCAATGATTATACCCGTTGGGTTGAAGATTTGATCCAGCTCGTTGGGTCAAGATTTTGATCGCACAAGGTGTAAAAACTATCCATACCAATGATTTGAAGACACCAAAAGAATAGTGTTTCCACGTTATCAGCATAGCTGTGGTGAAAATAACACTGTACTGACAATATTGAAACTGTGTGAATGGGCATAGATTGGCAGATCGGCTTTGACAAGGCACAGCAGTGATGTAAATTTTAGTAACTGTTGCAAAGTCCGTCAAGCTTTCAGAACCCACAAAGGCTTCCCTTGATGAATATTATCCAATCTTTTATAAAAATAAAAAAAGCATGTTTCAGACAGATGTGGTCAGAAGGTGGTGCAATAAGTCTTTGAAGGCTAAATCCACCATGACAAAGTTTAAGCGCAGAGATTGCAGAGTAAAAGTGAGAAGAGGACAAGAGAGGGCAATGACGTTCCTGTAAAACTAGCTTGCACCTTTTTTTTTTTTTTTCAAACCACTTTCATCACTCAAAAGCAAAAAAGAAATGGGCCTTCGTGTACCAGCTGAGCCTCATTACAATAGCTGGCTAAGTTTGCTAGCACCTCAAAAAGTAACTAGCGGAGACGCCGCGGTGCCTTTGGTACGTGCGACGGTCAAATTGTGGCAGTTATCTCGCCATGCAATACAATTCAGAGTGACAGCGATGTGTTTTGTGAAGAAATTGTAGTAACATTGACATTTCGGTAGCACTGACTGATACAGAATTTCACAATGTAGCATACTTATAGCAGCAATCATGGAGAAGAAATGGAAAAAGTCCACAAAGTGACTGGAGATATACCGTAATTTCTGGACTATAGACCGCACCTGATTATAAGCCGCACCACTAAATTTTTAAAGGAAAAAAATTTTGTACACACATAAGCCGCACTTGTGTATAAGCCGCAGGTGCCCATATTGTAACTTGAGATATTTACAAAGACAGACGGTACACAGGCAGCCGTTAGAAAAGTCTTTATATAAGCCGCTTCATGAAATAAGCCGCAGAGTTGAAAGCGTGTGACATAAGTCGCGGCTTATAGTCCGGAAATTACGGTAGTCTTCTGTCCATGACAATATTCAGAGAAAAAAAATTACATATGTTACATTTATGTACAATGTGTATTATTATGTGCAGCACAAAAAATGTGATTGTTACATATTTACATATCTAAAGGTATGACAGCAAAAGGTTGAGCTGATGTTGTACACAGCAGGACTGTCGTACACAGCCTCGTCTATAATTTGCCAATTTGATCAAATTTTAAACATCTGATAGAATCTCACTTTGTGGAAAAATGAAACTACCACTCACATGAGGCCCAAATGCTGACTGTCAATGCCATACTGTGTGTCCTCCTAGGTGTCACCGGAGGAAAAAAATCTGCCATCTTGCAATCCAACGTCTGCACGGACAAGCCTGTTGATAAAGGAGACATTAATGAGAGGCCAAAGAAATGCTCAGTTGATGTCCCGATATGGCGGACAACTTCCACAAATCGATGCTGCATCTACCGTCATAGACGCACAATAATAGCATCATGTTCGCATTTTGAGCAAGCAACTGAATCGTTTCAGATTGACAATTTGCTTCAAAGTTTTTTCTTGACAACATGCAAACGCCATGGGCATGTCCAAGTAGAGATTTGAACCCAGAACCACAGCAGCGCGACGCAGATGTGCTAATATTATCCAATCTTTTATAAAAATAAAAAAAGCATGTTTCAGACAGATGTGGTCAGAAGGTGGTGCAATAAGTCTTTGAAGGCTAAATCCACCATGACAAAGTTTAAGCGCAGAGATTGCAGAGTAAAAGTGAGAAGAGGACAAGAGAGGGCAATGACGTTCCTGTAAAACTAGCTTGCACCTTTTTTTTTTTTTTCAAACCACTTTCATCACTCAAAAGCAAAAAAGAAATGGGCCTTCGTGTACCAGCTGAGCCTCATTACAATAGCTGGCTAAGTTTGCTAGCACCTCAAAAAGTAACTAGCGGAGACGCCGCGGTGCCTTTGGTACGTGCGACGGTCAAATTGTGGCAGTTATCTCGCCATGCAATACAATTCAGAGTGACAGCGATGTGTTTTGTGAAGAAATTGTAGTAACATTGACATTTCGGTAGCACTGACTGATACAGAATTTCACAATGTAGCATACTTATAGCAGCAATCATGGAGAAGAAATGGAAAAAGTCCACAAAGTGACTGGATTTTTTTTTTTTTGCCAAGAATCCGAGGGAGGGAGGAAAGTAGTTTTGGAGATTGGAGAGACTTCTTTTTCACAGTCCCGCCTTTGTGTTCTTCCCGGCATTAAGGAAGATGATGAATGAGCAGTTTATTTGCCTTCCCTGCAGGATCCCGTCATGAAATCAACACGTTTTAATGCTTGCTTGTTCAGAAGGGAGTCTGAAGATGTTCTTACTTGGGCCACTTTGGCTTTGATGCGCACGCACTCACACACACACACACACACACACACACACACACACACACACACACACACACACACACACACACGCGTGCGCAAAGCACATGTTCACTCAATCTGCCTGAACTTGTACTCACTTTAAAATGTGCAGGTGGCTTTGTCGGGAAGTTTTGCTGATTCACTAAATTCCTTAATACCAAAAGGAATAGAAGAGGCGGGAGTGTAATTTAAGCTCATCCGTCATCTTGTCCTAAACAACAACTGGAGCAGTGTTTGCATTTTTTCTTTTCCACAGGAATGCACTCAGCTGTAATCATTTCCAAAGGAGGCCTCATTATTAACTGCAGGCACTTTGGTTTACAACTTTCATCTTATTGGGGCTCGAGCCCCAAGAGCTACAAAAGCTCATTTTTCCCCCCCTTTATATTAAATCTATTATTATTACCATCACACATTATGTTCTTTTTTTATAGAGTGGTGAGCACTATTGTCTCACAATTCTGAGGTTCTGAGTTAGAATCTTGGCATCTCACCCCCCCCCCGTCCCCCCATGCAAGACTCTAAATTGTCCATAAGTGAACCGATTTGAGTCTGAGAATCTGTGATTTATTTAACCAAACCAAATCGAGTCGTTATATTTCAAAATGTACCTTTTGGCTTTTTCTCTCTGCGCGTGGACGGAGCATGCGGGCAAAAGTGGATAATGTGGCAATTCTATTACTCGCATCACAAAACTAAATGAAACAGGTTGACCGATAAAACTCAGCAGAAACATACAAGACTCCATTTTCCCGACCCAAAAGCACATCAAAGCTTGTCAAGGCGAGTGAATATATTTGAGCCGTATGCTAACTGAACCGCAACATGACAAAACGACACAAAAGCACATCAAAGCTTGTCAAGGCGAGTGAATAAATTTGAGCCGTATGCTAATTGACCGCAACATGACAAAACGACGCAATTCTATTACTCGCATCACAAAACTAAATGAAACAGGTTGACCGATAAAACTCAGCAGAAACATACAAGACTCCATTTTCCCGACCCAAAAGCACATCAAAGCTTGTCAAGGCGAGTGAATATATTTGAGCCGTATGCTAACTGAACCGCAACATGACAAAACGACAGAACCTCATCTCGATAGCTGTTTTATAAACATCTGGATTTTATGATATATGGGACAAATAACTCAAGCTAACGTGTCCCGTTTTTGAGTGTGCCGCGTTGTGCTGCTAATACAATTTCAAGCAGTGAATCATTCACTCTGCGGCCTGCCAAAGAAGTGACACATTGCAATCGAGCCACATTGATCTGCTGCCTTCCCCTCGACGCATCCCCTGAATCCACATCTGCACGTGTTTATATGTGCGTCATGGGGAAAAAAGAAAAAAAAACAAATAAATCAACAGTACGAAGCTGACTAAAAGCTGTTGTGTGTTTGGAACAACAAAACCATGACAATGAGCTCCCTCAGTGAGGTCGGCATAAAGGATGAATGGGGATCAAAACAGTCTTAGATTCTAAATTAATGAGGCCAGTGTGACGATAATGAAAGGTTGAAACAAACTTATCAGTGAAACATATGCTAAAAAGTTTGTTGGGAACAACGGCGAGGCGTAGCCCTTTTCGTATAAGGAACCATTCATTGGTAACAACTACTCACACTCGGCCATTTGAATGAATTGTGCCGCGCACATGGCTCAATAAGAATCCGCGGCTCATTATACAATGCCACTTGCATTCTTCTACAAATGCGTCATGGCTATTATGAATAATATAGGAGCAATCCTCTTGCATTAATCAACACTTGCGTGTACGGTGGATTGTTATTCGTTTTTTATCTTGTGACGTATTTCTACACTCTATACAGTCTAAGCGGTTTAAAATTAACTGGATGCATGAAATCTAATTTTTCTCCAGAATGGCCTGGCCACGCTTTGCCACGGCCTCATTTGGCCTGGTCGCTGTTGCTTCTCCTTTACAACAGGCACCAACAATTGGGCGGGATAAACGGTGAACTGTTTGAGTTTCCGATCCACTTGCACAAAAAAATTCAAAAAATAAATCGCACTTGTATGATATGGTGACGTCGCAAATTGCCGCCCAGTAAATGCAAAGAAGCTTTCACACAGACGGAAAACTCAGTAAGCGAGACACAGCCACCAAGACATAGATATACACCATATGCAGCAAATATGTTGTTTTTACAACAACCCTTAACCATATTTACAATTGCATATGTACCTATGGATTAAATACAAGAAGCTTGCGGTATGCATTTTCAATTTTGAAAGACGGGACTCGATTTCATTCATTAGAACGGAACTGGCGTGGAACCATCTAATTGATGGATAACTCGAGAGAGAATTGATCACATTGTATATGATCGTGGAATTTTTTTTGACTTTTTTTTTCCTCTTGTGCAATGTAGCAGTTATATGATGAATAACAGGCAATATTTGGCAATTGCATGAAATACACGATAACACATTGCAAGTGCGTAGGTGCCAGTGAGACCAAGTTTGCATTGTACTTATTGGATTGTGGATTATTCCTAATTGGTGTTTTTATTTGAATTGTGCAACATAGCGGTGACAATGAATGACTAACTAGAGGAATAATCACATAAATGATATGAGAAATACATTGGGCATGTGACCATGGATATTTTTGCCAGTGCATTATTTTATTGTCTTTGTACTTACTTATATTGTGAATGGTGGTGGGCAGCATGAATAACAGTCTCCACAAGCCATGCATCCATATTCATGGTTGTGCATGGGCTGGAGCCTCTCTCAGCTGTCTTTGAGCGAGAGGTGTGGTGCACTCGAGACGAGAACCCAGTGAATGCAGGGCACATAAAGACAAACAAGCATTCAGATTCAAATTTACACCTATGGACAATTTAGAGTCTTGAATGTCCTAACATGCAGGTTTTGAGTGGCTGGCAAGTAGTACTGGAGTACCTGCGGAAAACCAACGCAAGTTCTGAGCCTGAGAAGCGATTTTAACATGGAAAATTCCCCAGGCGGTGAAAATCGAGTTACAGAGCTCAACCGTAATTTTCTTCGTCTATTTTGAGCTCGTCATAAGTGTGTACTCTGTGCATGCATGGAACCACACTGCCCCTAAGCGGCCAACGTGTGCATAGCAAGAAAAATATTTATTTTTATGTATTTGTTTATTTTTATAGTTATTGCTTTAGGTTGTTGTCATTTTAATTTCTCGTTTTTACCGAGGTCTCAAATTAGCCAAGTAAGTCCCAATACTTGTGAAAGTAAGAATAGAAGAATTACAAGAAGAGAAATGATGACAAAGAAATAAGTGAGAGATTTATTCACGGTCTGAATGCAATGCAGCAAAGGCGTGGCAGCGGCAGAATGAAAATGCAAGAGCCTTTTCACATATTTGCAAGGTCATTCTGTACTTGACAAAAAGTATAGCTTGTTACTCGTTTAGCATGTAGTGAAGAATGGGCGTAAGGATAAGATAAGTATTTGAGTTTGGTAATTGAAAAAAATCAACAAATGATCATTTTTGTTAATCATGATTTCAATATCTGCCCTGCGATTGGCTGGCAACTGATTCAGGGTGTCCCCCCGCCTACTGCCCGAAGACAGCTGGGATAGGCTCCAGCACCCCCGCGACCCTAGTGAGGATAAAGCGGTTCGGAAAATGGATGGATGGATGATTTCAATATCAATTAAAAAAATAATCCTTATTATTTTTTCAAATAAGCTTTTTTTCTCCATAACTTCCGAACACTATTCCTTAAAGTAACTAATTTCTTAATTTATTCAGAGTACACCTTTGGTTGAGATTTGGAAAATGTATAGCACATCATAAGTGAAAAAGGCCACCACCTAAATAAATTCATGCCACAATGACAACCTGAGGATGAATGTGCACTTAAAATGATGAGATCAACAATAGTGATGCTCAAGAAATGCAAAGGTTCAACAACTTCATGTACATACCGTGGCTCGCTTAGAACTGTGCAAAGATATTTCTGTCACGCTTGACCTTGAGACAACGTTGCAGGGTGACTCTCTTCCTTATTGGACATTGAGCCCCTCCCCCCTCTCCATTCTCTTTTAGGTGGGAAGGTGACCTTGGACTTCTGCTCACATCCAGCTGCTCCTGATGCCAGCCGGCCAGCCAGCGGATGGCACGCCTGCTGGGAACAGTGGCAGCTTTCGGGGCAAAAGGATCATCTCCTTGATGTCCACCAAGGCGCTGTGGCCAGATAAGATTTTCTAAATGAAACATCACGTCTTGGGAGGAGGTCGCTCACTTAAGATGGCAGAGGCACCTCAACCTATTAGATCAGCGAACAACATCAAAGCAAGCCGCAGGAGCGCGGAAAGAGCCCTGAGCCACAGTAATAACCCAAACAAACATCCTTCCATGTCTCTTTTGCTGGAAAAAATAGACTAATATAGATCAATAAAAAGCTCATACAACACTTTTTTCATAACTTGCACTCATAACATTATATTCAGTGTGTCACCTTTTCACTTACTGTGAAGATTTTTTTTTTCTGAAATGTCAAATATTACCAGGCTGCAAAAAAAATATTTATTGGCCTTCAGCAAAAAAACAACGGATAGTATAGTTGAAAGGCTTTGAAGCAACAATTGCATGGCGTTTTTACCTCTGGTCTAATGCTGCCTCCCTGTGGTCAAAAGAGGAACTGTCTCACCCCGTATGACTGTGATGCCTCGGTGGCTAAATTAAACAAAAAACACCACAGAATTTAATTTAACGTATCATTTCCATTCTTATTGGCTTCTTAATACAACCAACAAACACGTATGACCGCATCTGCTCAAATGAATCCTCTTATTTGCAATTACTGTATGATGTCATTTACACTATAACACTACGTTGATGTAAATCGAAGCGTATTCAAACAAAGACTTTACCTGCCTGCCACAGCTACTCACGGGGGAGATTAGATGTAGCTAATTACCAGAATAACTATATAGATCAACAAATTCAGTAAATATAAGCTTGGGGAATGTGGTGGATCGAGGATATGGCGTTTAATGCGTGAAGGTAAAAGTTAAAAAAAAAAATTTGTGTGGTTGTGTGGTTAAGCACGTTAAGGTTAGCACATTTACATTCAATATGAGTTTAAAAAACATTGTAGTTGAATTATTAACACTAAAAAGTGAGTCTTTTAGTAGTCATTGCATTCTTTTACCTAACAGTTGGCTTTTCATATTGTTTGCCATGCCAAATTAGGAATATATCTATGGCAACGGATATTAAATTTGTTGACATTAAGAAGTTGAACTGTCATGGCTGAACATTAACTTATAAAATACAAACTACATTTTTACACGCTTGAAAGGCTGACATTCGTTTTATTGAACAGATTATTTAGAAAAGAAAACGAGTGTCATGTATAAATTGACAGTAAATGCACGAACATACAAATTTGCACCGCATATATACATAGTATATAGTACAATAAGCGAAACGCATTGAAACTGCCAGTGAGAGTTTGATGGTGGCAGCATCTCAGCGACTGATTATGATGGGCCAACAAGTCTTCATGAATTTGTCACACCAGCGTTTCAGGCAGTGCATCTCCACTGTTTGTCGACAGGATCTGCCAAATATGGCCGTTTGCTTTCCCAGAGGCTCGTTCTGGTGCAGTTCTAGTGGGTCTGCTCTGAGTCTGGGGTTGTCGTGCCAGACTGATGGAGGGCGTGGAATGAGACACACGCATCTCAACAAGAGGTCGTAACAAACAATCTCCATGATCTGTAAGGATTGGATGGACAGGGCGTCTCGTCCCGTCTGCCAGGTTGTCTGAGCTGAGGGCTCCGGATTGGCTGGTGGGTACCCGATGTAATGAAGGTAATGGTTGCCTGGGTCCCGTCTGGTCGCGAGGGCGGTTGCCGCTGCTGCTGCGAGTCACCCGTAGGTGTGGCCTGCCTTGTGAAGCATCCAATGAGGTTTGGGTCGGGCTGACGGGCAGCTTGCTGTTACCTTGGCGACCGCTCAGCCCTTCTGACGATCCAAATGACTTCCATTCAGACATGTCTCTTAGGGAGCCTGAGAGAGAACAGACGTTGGACATTTGAAGGTTGCATCTTCTTTGTCCTTTGATGATTACGAATGTAGTGCAACCTCGTTATCCAAAAGGAAGTGACAGAAAAATAAATTATCCCCCTTATAGAAAGGCATTCAAAACAACATGTGAAGGTGAAAGCGTGCAAAGCGAGTTGACATCTGGAAGGAAAATTCATGACGTCACTGACGTCACCGACGGCTCGACTATCATCACCTTAGCAGTGAGTACAAAAAATGTATCATTCAACACCATATTTTGGCATACGTCTGTCACAAATAAGTGGCAGACGTAATACTTTTGATGCGTTCCGAACTGTGCTCTCGTGAGGTATGCTGAGCTCTTGCGCGCTGAATAATGTCTGTCAATAATGTGTTCTCAGTCCATCTTTTGGAAAAATGTGTCACAACAAATACAAAAGGCAATATATGCACATGTACGCTTGAACGGAGCTCACGTGATGTGAGAAATTCTGAAGCTCTGCGCAACACGGCGCGTTTTTACAGAATTTCCGAATTGTACATGCATTCAGAGGTTCCAGTCTATTTGTTATGTTAGCTACGGTGCACTGATCCGATGAAAATGTGCAGGCCATGAGCGTATTACCATTGATGTCAAGGTCAATAACATTCTTGCTGAAAAGTGGATGCCAGGTGTCCCAGAAGTGATCCTCCGAGGCCTCTTCTAGCACATAGACAAAAGAGAGAGCGAGACTAATGACCGTGCCTAAGTGAAACATAAATACTTCTGCCGTACCTCTAATTATTCTACACGAGAGTATAATTATAGTTTACTTCACAGCATGTTGGGAGCAGAGTCATTTTAGACGAAGCGCAAAGTGACTGCCACAACACCATTAATCTCGGTTATAAAAATGTTGCCAGAGTCTAATGGGAGCTGCTTTTACACACACGCACATGCCAAACCAACTGCCATTCACAGCTGGAGAACAGCAGCACATCTGATTTCAACTTTACCTGTCGTAAAGGTAGTTGGCGAGTGTCTCGGCGCGTCGCCACTTTCCGACAGCAGCTGGTCGTCCTCCAGCAGCAGGAGTCGATCGGACAGGACGGGAGAGCTGTTGTCGTAGGGGGACGCCTCGCCGCTGGACATGGACTCGTTGGAGGAGCACCGCTCCATCGGGGAGGACTCACGCGGTGACACCAGCCTTGAATCGCTGAAAGAAAAAAAAAAAAAGATGGATGGATGGATGGATGCTATGTGTGATTGAGCCCATTATGAGAGACAATCGGAGCCTGGGTGACACTCACGAGTAACACGTATCCTTCCGCCGCAGCAAGTAGTCCACAACATCAGGATCTGTTTCTAGGAGACTGAGCAGTACCTCATTCTGCAGCTCGGCAGGAACCTGAAAGTGAATGAGGTCATGTTGTTGCTATGTTACGCTTCGTTGTTCATTTGGATGTGAATGTATTTTCATATTTAGTCACGGGTTAAAGGAGTCAAGACTTCAATCTGAAATCTACTCATCAAAGGTGAATATACTTAGCGAATGTGAACTCTTTTTTTTAAAACCTTTAAAAGTTTAACGCGTTTGCTCCATAGATGTATTCTTGAAAAAAAAAACAATTAAAAAAAACAAATGAAAAGAATTTTAAAAAATCATCCCGTGAAAAATGCAAAGCAGTCCCGTTTTTTTTTCCCCCCATAAGCTTAGCCTGGGTTTGCAGTGATTAGATTCATAAGTGAACATTATGATACAACAACAAGTACCGTGTTAACCTTCCAGTTTTCTCCTTTTCACAACAACGGAATTTAACTTCACACCACCGAGAGCCTCTAAGTCTTGGCCGAAATTCTACTTTGTTTAGCGGTGACCATCAAAGTGTACTTGTTTCCATTTCATTAGGCGCCGGCGCTCCATTAAAACATTCCGCTCGCTCGATAGTAAACAGTTTACAGTGAGCGTTGACTTACCAGGAATAGAGAGTCACAGGAATTGATCATGGTTTGGAGCACGCTGATGATGGCGCTGCTCTCCTCGGCGCGGGCTAAACTCTGAACAGCAAACTCCTTGTCGGAGTTTTTTTGCTTGTGCAGAAGGTTGGGTCCCAGGATGGTGGCTAAATTGAGTGAAGTCATCTTGTTTCCTGGTTTCTGAGCATATCAACGACAGAGTTTCGGCACTATTATTCAGGATGATTACCACATTTTTAAACATTAACAGGAGCCATGAATAACAGCGCGTACTCACGGGTTATTGTCAATGACAAGGCAACTTGGACCTTCTCTCTTAATTGGCAATGTTTTCTCCATCCGAAATGATTCATTAACCATGATGTTTAATTCACAAGCACACATCCCCGCGACATCTTCCACAGAGGTTAATTATAGACAATGTAATGACGCTACACTGTTCCGCCACCATTCATTACCTGCTAATCAGTAACTGTGACATTGACCTTCTTTTTAGACAAACAAGTACAAGCGCAGATTGAAAGTGATGATGAAATGTGCACTCAACCTCCACAAGATGCAGTGGCACAATCAATTCAAAGAAGGCATCCTTTCCTGTCATTTTGTGAAATAATCGCCCCCCAAAACAGTTCTCTCACTGTGACGTATCGCAGTTTTAACTGCAGCGACTACAATCTTTTGAAACGCTACAGTGGGCTTTAGCTTTACAGATGCCACGTCCGTACTACAGGAATCTACATAACACATGGTGGGAGTCATATCATAGTCAAGACAATTCCAACATGTTGGCTTTTATATTCCCCAAAGAGGGGTGTTGATTTGGGGGGGGTATCTTTTTTTTAAGTGGACATTAAACTGTGTGATTACACCTTGTCTGGAACAACAAGAACAATCTTATGACAGTCATCATTAATATGGACACTAGTTGACTTTACAATATGGCAATAGCAGTCCGACAGTGTCACTCAAAACTTTATTCATTCATTCATTTTCCGATCCGCTTATTATCACAAAGGTCGCGGGGGTTGCTGGAACCTATCCCAGCTGTTGTCAGGCAGTAGGCGGGGGACACCCTGAACCAGTTGCCAGCCAATCGCAGGGCACATACAGACAAACAACTATCCGCGCTCACACTCACACCCGGGGACAATTTTGAGTGGTCAATCAGCCTGCCATGCATGTTTTTGGAATGTGGGAGGAAACCGGAGTACCCACAGAAAACCCACATAGGCCCGGGAAACTCCACACAGGGAGGACGGAGCTGGGATTGAACTCGGTATCTCTGCACTGTGAGGTCGACGCACTAACCACTGGACCACCGGGCCGCCTCAAAACTTTATTATGTAATTTTATTGATTTTAATTTATTTTAGAGTCAAGTTCAGTTTTGGGTTTTATTTGGGTGAGCAGGTGTACCTAAAAAAAAACTGGCCAATGGGGATTGAAATCACGGTGTCAAGCCTAGAAGTGTTTCAAATGTAGGTTTGCAGCACAGATTCAAATTTGGGTTTCAAGCAATTTTTATTTATTTTTTTTGGAGTACCTGCTCTTCCACAAGTACTACAAATTTCAAACCAGGAGTGCCTCTTTACCTTGTGTCCCTCCTCATCTAGCATGTCTTCAGCATGTGCAGCCACGGCGGCCAGCAAGCAGAGGAGGCGATGCAGTGTATCACAATTGCAAGGAGGAAGCAAGAACATCAAGAGCTGGATGGCCTTCTGTTGCTCTGCCCGCTCCAACACTGCATTGTCAGGACAGAAAAAAGACGGCAATGACTGACGCCTGCTTTGTCGTCCTATTTGATGCGTATGCGTGTGCACGCGTGTGCCTCACACGCCGTGTTGACGAATGTCGTGTAGAGCTCTCTCGTCAACAGAGGGTCGGGCATGTCGCGGAGGAATTCTTTCAGCAACGCCGCCACATCGTGAACGCTGTGCTGCTCATCTAAATGCAGCTCCCAGCCCTGATCCAGCTCTTCACGCATCTGAGGGGAAAAGAAAACAAACAATACACACATTGCTGTTGCTGCTGCTGCTGGTGCTGGAGTGGTGGGTAGTACATGTTCATTTATTGACCTCTCACCTGCCTCACCCTCTTCTTGGAACTCCCCACACGGAAAATTCCCACTGTCTGTAAACCTACGCAGAGATGATAGCAATCTCAGACATGATTCATGGGGGGGAAATCAAGAATAAAGGAATCACCTGAGGAGCTGAGCCATGTGGCAACGAGCAATTCAATGGCCCCGCCCCCACCCCCAGGTTGAACCGTAAATACATCACAAACTTGGGTCCCAAAATAGTTTTGAATCGTTTCAAACTCATCTTACAACAACTCACTTCAGAATAGGATTTAAAAAGCAAACCAACAAAAAGTAAAAAATAAAAATCTCAGTCGAGATGAATGACTTCAACATACTTTCTTGATTCCAACGACTACTACTTTCTTATTTCGACCGGGCTTTGGTGCCATGTTAAAGTGCTTCAGAAAGAGCACAAAAATTAATGAATTTCCAGCAAATGGCTCTGGATCAGTTCCGCGGGACAAAAAAAATACCAAAAAGTCAATCTGGGAATAGCAAAGGGCAGTGTCGTCTTCCACGACGCTTCACATTTAGGTGATGAGTACCGTGATTTTCCAGGTGCTGGCAGCAGAGTTCCACCACCTTGGGCACTTGGGGGTACATGGGGTTTAGGCTCAGCTTTTTGTCGTGCCTCTTCTTCCTGTTTTTGCCCGTCGCCTCCACTGGCAGAGACAATTGGAGGGCCTCCAAGAGCTGCGACTGGTTATCGTCCAGGTCGGTGATGCAGTCCACCGACACGCCGCCCTTAAAATGGAATGGGTGACAATCACACTGTACATTTTTTGTTAAATTAACTTAATATCAGGCATTCCTTATAATAAATCAAGATGTGGGGTATTTTTAATTTTCACAATTAAAAATATCAGCAACTAAGGTTTTTTTTTTTTTTTTTTGGTCCTTACTGGAAAAGGGACGTGTCTGCTTCTGGGAGGGCCACTATTTGAGGAAACATTTATTTATTTTTACTCAAGCAATTATAGTGAAGTGTATTAAAATGTAACATGCATTATTATAATTATAAGTTGTATGCCATCCTACTTCTTTGCTGTGGCTGTGTGGCCGACGTATGGCATGTTCCTTATATGTTCACTTAAGGATTTAAATGTTGTATTTGTTTAACTAAACTATACTACCATATGTCATAGTTTTTTTTTTTTATTATCAGTACAATGTGATAACCATTTTCAAGAAATGTATTGTGTTTGGCAAGGAGTGTTTAGCACAGTGAAAGTAAAGGTAATTACAACCAACGCTTATTAAAAAAAAAAAAAGGATATTCAAGTGGATGCATTCTACGAGGGCAGAGGCTACTGTTGGAAGACATACGGTATGATTGTGAGTTTTAATCGTACCCTCCTGCGCGTCCTTGGAGCTGCGTCGGGCGCTGCAGCGAACGGCGACTTATTGGGGCTTTCCGAATTGGAGCTGAGGGACGAGTTGCTGCTCGACAGCTCTTTGTTGGCCCGTTTGAATGTGGAGGTGAAGTGGAGGAAGGACAGCACCAGCTCGGTGGGGTCGCAGTGCTGCTCCTGTGGTGCGTCGTGGCGCTGCTTGTGCGTGCGGTCGTTGCTGATGACCTGCGCTAGCGGGATGCTGAAGGCTTGGGGCGTCGCCTCTGTGGGGAAAGAAAGTGAGCGCACGGATATGGTAGTTGATGCCGATACCTTTGCCGAGGAGTTGCTGTACGAATAATCAACAAAAAAAGCATTCTTTGATGCAGGAATGTACAAAATGTTTTGAATGTTGCTGAACGCAACATTTTCATTCATTCTGAATGAGTGGTGCTTATCCTTCAGATTGTATCGAGTGGCATATTTTACATCGGAAAGTGTATTCAACAAGTGTGGACTGAGGGCGGCACACATTCCGTATTCAGAGTTTGAGAGTACTTAGTGCTTCTGTAAACATAAAGGGTAAAAAAGGAAGGAGGGGGCGTGGCTTTGTCAGAAGAAGAGCTGCAACCAATGGGCTCCCGGATCAGACTGTTTTTGTTTATCTTTCGTGAACTTGAGTACATTTATAGAGATTCTTTTCAAGTGTCTGAAGCCTGGTAGCTCTTAAGTGGAGGGCGGAGGAGGAGCTGAAGTAAATTACATTCCTCAGTGGAGAACACGCTTTAACATCATGATGTAATCATTAAAAAAAAAAAAAAAACCTAAAAATAACTACTGTAGATGGGATATAACTTCGCTTTGACTCAGCAAATTTAAAACACTGAAAGACATGGTCATACAATGGAAAAGTAAAAGTATATCTATGTTTATATACAGGTATATGTTATATCTATATTTGTTCTACTGCTTCTTCCTTTCATAACTTTGCTGCTGTGAATTGGGAATTTCTCCATTGTGAGACTAATAAAGGTTTTCTTATCTTATTTTATCTACTTAAACATTTCCTATGGCGCTGGTCCGAGGATCATGGGTAAACTGGAGCCTATTCCAGTTGAGTTTGGGCAAGTTGAACCCTGGATGAATACAAACACTTTCAGACCTATGGAAAATTCACTCTTCAATGAGTCTAACGGGGTTTTTTTTGTTGTTGTTTTTGTCATGCAGAAGGAAGTTGGAGTGCCTATTAAAAAAAAAAAAAAAAGGGGGGGCAAGCAAACCGTATCAGGGCTGTGCAAAACTCTGAATTTCAAAATTCAAAGCAATTCAAATCAATTCAGTGGATGAATGTGAATTTGAATTGACTCCACCACACAGGATGTTGAATTGTATTTGAATTCCAAAAAGTGGAACTCAATTCTATGCAATTCAGAGAAACTCATCCCCATCACATATCAGGTGTGCTCCGAAACAAAATGTCCAAAAGACATAAATAAAGCGAGATGCTTGTGACGATTCCATCTACATACGCATTTGTGACATATTTTTGAAGAAAAAGGGGCTGTGGCAGCTCACTTGCTTCTTTTTCAGGCTTTTGTGTCAAACACCGCTGTTAACTGAAAGTGGCATAAGCCTGGAGAAAAGTATCTATCAGGGCCCAACCGGGTGTCTTAACTTCCGCACTACCAACAGTGATGTGACAAAGTGCTACACAAAAAGCCTGAAAAAGAAGCACACAGTGAGAGAGGTGAATAATCTGACTGCAGAGCAGTGGCGAGATGTTGCACAACACTGCGCCATAAGCCTTTAGCCAATTAGCACCGGGTCATAAGCATGGAAGAATCAAGTGTACTCAAGGGTACAAAAGTACTCCCATTAAGCGTGTACCCAAAATAGTATTTCACACATATTACCTCTGTCTTTACTCTTCTCCTTGGAAAGTGAATCCAATTTACGCCTGAGCGACTTCTTGTATTTGTGGCCATCTGAAAAAAGGTGACAAACACAAAAACAACTTTTAATCTGCCTTTTTCTGTGTCTGTTGCTTTAAAGGGCAAAATAAAACACGTAGTATTAGAGCGGAACTCTTGTAACAGTAACACACAGGAATGAGTTAGATGTGTGTGTACATTTGGGAATGGTGACGTGGCAGCCCAGGTTGCGATCGCGAAGGAGTCGCCTGAAGGCAACGTCCTGCAGACGAACCCTCTCTAGCTCGGAGAGGCTTTGCAGTGGGACGGGCTTCAGACCCACGGAGCGTCCCGACACACTGTTCCATGTGAAGCTTCCCTGAGGACACACGCACACAGAAATTAGAAGACATTAAAAGGAACTGAAATGAATTTCCCCAAGACCCAATTATACAATTTGTACGGGGATAATTTGAGTTTAACTGGATCGAGGCACAGTACAAGTGGCGTGACAGCACTTTGTTCGCCAAGAGGCGATGTGTCGCAGGGGGCTGAGCCTTTACTAATGATGCTAATGAATTCCACTGGAGCAATATGATGGTTGAAAATGGCCCAAAGTACTGGGACACCTCACAATTACAAACCAGTGGGATGATCTTAACAAGTAATGCTAGTGAATAATGACAAAATTAATACTTTGAAAGGAACACAAGAAATGGATTATTTTTTTTCAATGGCGTGGTCTCACTCAATAGTGAAAACGGCATGCGCTGCAAACAAAGCAGCAAGTGAAAAGTGGCTGCAGTCAAGGCCTAAAAAGCAAAGCATCTCCAGGGAGGAAACCAAGAATTTCACATTCGTGTACTCTGGACTTCAGGAAGTACTTGAGTGCAATTACTATTAAGACTGACTATCTTTGAACAAACTTTTTGGAGCCCAAGGAAATGGAGGTACAGCACTTGTACACAGGGAATCTTGGTAAGGGTCAAATATACCAAAATTTGGCGTGAAATCAAGGAAACATGAAAATTTATTTTTTACTGCTTGTACCCAAATAGTAGGGTCTTGGGTGTGCCTGCCCACCTATCAAGATATTTAACAACCAAGAAAATGTTCTCTTCCTCAAAAGAAAATGCATCTGTGATCGAGCAGTTCTGCACTGAAAAATAGTTTGATAACTCAACAGAGCGACAAACCCACTAACTTAACACCGAGTTGGTGCTCCCTTTGTCGCATTCCCGAGGTACGCCACAAGTCGTCACGGTGACGAAAGCTGTGCAAGCAATTGCATGAGACAGACAGAACCTGCCGCCAAAACTGAGTGATTTGAACCGTAGTGTGACTTGTAGATGTTAAGTATGCTGCAATCTTAATCCTTTGTGTATTTTGAAAAAAGTCAGAGACCTGTGATTAGGAAACTGTTGCAGGGAAATTGCATCATAAAGCTGGAAGTCTACAATTCAACAACATCCTAGGGATGAGCGGATTAGAAAATGGATTGATGAAGTATTGTGGTTTCTGAAGGCCAAATCATTAAACATTCATTCATTCATTCATTTTCCGAACCGCTTGATCCTCACTAGGGTCGCGACAATAGCTGGAGCCTA